TTTATGTTCATGAAAAGTTTTATGGTTAAGAAAGGATTATGTATGAAACGTTTTTCAAAGTAAGTAGCACCCTGAGTTCCAAGTAAAGTTTTCAAATGTCTTATAAAAAGAAAAAAATTTATTCTAGAAATTCAATGTACGAAAAGCGGGGTGTGACAATTGAATTTCTAGAATAAATTTTTTCTTTTTATAAAACTTTTGAATACTTTATTTGGAACTCAGGGTGCTACTTACTTTGAAAAACATTTCATACACAATCATTTCTTAACCATAAAACTTTTCATAAACATAAACATTTCATACGTGAACATAGAACATTTCATACATGAACTTTTCCTGAACATGAACATTGAACATGGCGTTGCCTTGAGAACTTACACTTTAACTTGACTTGCATGAACCATGACTTATTTCATAAAATAAACTTTGCATAGCCGAAGCTTTTAAAACATAAGTATCATAAACATAAAACATGTGACCACCCTCGCCATCGCTCCTTTGCCAGCTCGCCAAAAACCTGGGTGTGGAAAACAAATGGGGTGAGCATTTCCACTTACTCCGTGAGAGATCCCTCTACGTTATCATCCTAATCAACTATAAAACATGAAATCGTTTTCGTATACTCCACATAATCATGAGCTCCCGACGAGTGGTGACCCACAAGTCGAAAGACTTTCTTGCTTCTACAACACTATTAGACAACTAAACACTAGAGCCTTTGCATGCAGATGATTACATTCTTGTCACACTCCCACCTCTCATCAAACTCCTTATACCACTTTATGGTGGTGGAAGAACAATGCCTCTCGCAGATGGCACGGCCAAATAGGCTTGACGAGAGTACCTTTGAATAGGTTGAAGGAAGATAGCCTTTCACTAGGCTCCGTACAGTCTTATCGACGGGGACAACCGTTCGAAGAGTGCACCAACGAAGGTTACACATAATCACTTACACCCTCTAACCCTAGCACTTAGCTACCCTCTAGAGTTATAGTCCGTGAACCTTGGTACTGCAACAAACGACTTGCTCGAATGTTGGAACATTGTAAACATGGGTACTATGCAAGCTACTTAACTTCATTCATAGCATAGATAATTAAAGAGGATTAGTAAATTAGAACTTCCCCCACCTTTTCAGTAGAATGCTCGGCTTAGACTTGAACTTGACTTTGAACGAAACTCGAGGGCTCGACTCCTCGTAAAACTACATTCATTGGGGTCATGTCTTAGTGTCTTAACATGGAACTTATTCTTATACTTATACTTATACTTATAATCATACATAAGCTTTATAAAAACTTTGCTCGCTTGGCTTCGCCTTGCTTGCATTCTTTTGAAAACATTCTTGCTTTAAAGCATTTGGACAATTGAACTCTTAGCTTGCTTGCTTACGGATACTATTCTAATCATCTAAGGTTCATCATGATCTCACTCAATACTTTACAGCTCATACATGTCACATAAGCATGCTTAATAAACATAAGACTCACTTAAACAATTACACTTAGTCATTTGACAAAACTTAACACGTGCTGCATTTTTAAAACGAGCATATCTTTCAACATACAAGTCGCATTAACATGATTCAAGTCTCAGCTCCTAAGACATGGTACTACAACTTTCATTTAGCACTCAAAAGCAAATAAGGTCATATACATGGTCCAAAACCAGCAAACATTCAAAGCTAAAATGCTGTCCAGAAATTTAAAATAAATTCATGCGCAGTTTTACGAAAACAGGTATCATTCACTACTCGGACCATATTTTTGCTTGATTTTAGAACCACATGAAAGATAACACATAGAACTACAATTTCAATGAAGACTTCAGGTTCATTTGAGCACATTATCATATCATAAACACACAAAACATCCAAACCTAACTGTAGCCGGATTTAAGTAAAACTGCTTGCGCAACAATTTTGTAAAAATCATAACTTATTCGTTCTAAATCGAAATTGCATGATTCCGAAGCTCACGTAAACACAACTGAACGAACTACATATCATGTGAAGAACTCGAAAACCGAGAATAACATCTCAGGGGCCTAAATTGCTTCCGAACAGACATCACGAAAATGACAATTACACATGAAATCATAACCTAATTATCCGAACTTCATATCATCTCGAAAGCAACCTAAAGCAATGATTCTAGGCACATTTATCACATAATAAGACACGATTATGAACACATAAATTGATAACAATTAACCTTATTCACATATCATTCAATTAATTTTTTCGGAAGCCCGGCAAGGCTCCGACCAATTCTAACTCAACGGTAACTCAACAATTACTCGACTTAAGCAAGCGTAAGAGGTTCAATTATCTACTTTAAAGACATTAATAATTTGTTCATGATTATTCGAACTCATAATAACAGTCCATAGAAGGTTAAGGCTTAAGGGTTTACCGCTCGGTTAGAAAGGTAACGGTAATGGCTCGAATGGGGCTCGAATGAGGGCTCGGTGGACTTGGCCGTGTACGTGAAGGGGCTGTCCGTGGCTGAGGTAC